CAAGACGTGCAAGCCATTACTTCTCATGATCTCAACTGTTTACGTTTCAAGCCTTCCTCCCGCGGTCGCGCTGTTTTACAAACAGTGGATTTCATTAAACGAATGAGCCGACGTGTTGGCATTACCATACGAAAAACCAAAACACTGCTTATTTCGATATCCGCATTCAAGTGTTCGAACGATGAACGAACTTCCCAATACATCCAACTTTAACGTCCACATCATTCTAGAGATCTATTCGAGAGGTATCCAGTTCAAAACTCTGTCAGGTTAATGTCTCTCATCATTAAGATTCTCGTGGTTTTCCCAGATATCTCCAGGGTATGACCACCTTCTTTCAAATAATCATTTGCCCACATGTATGGTACTACAGTTCCGTTCGATGGTATACAAATTTTTCCTATTTAATGACCGTCATTGCAGAACAAACATTACTCCGCCAGAACCACCCACGAGGGATTTTTTCATGACTTTTCCTCACGTGCACAAAACTGGGCGATAATTTTGAATCAATTATGGACTGAAAATTATCTTGCAGGAATGATCAGTGTGATAATTTAAGGTACCATCCAATAATTTAATTACGAACTGAGGAAAATAGCGAAATGTACAAATCTGCAGAGTTAACCTCGAGGTGTAAGCAAACCCAGGGCGCCCAGAATTGCGTGTGGCAGTCCCGGTGACTCTGCAAGCGTTAACAACCACGTAAATTACGGACTTAAAAATACACAAGAATTCCAATGGAGATTCAAACAAACGGGAATAATTAAAACACATGAGAATGTATGAAAAATTCCACGTTCGCCAACCAACACAAAGCGAGTACGCGCTGCAGTAATTAAACACGGCCCAGCGTTCTCGTTTAATTAGTGCAGATTTTATCTAAACTGCGAACGAGTGATATGAATGTCACTCGTTTGCGCTGTGAGCCCCAGCTCCAAAAAGTAGTATTCTGCACGCATCTGCGGACATGTTTTCTACAGTCGGAGAACTGCAAAATCAGTGCATTCCAGAGTAGCTAATAGTTCGTCAGAAAATTGCGTACATAAGACTTAGGACTGATTCGTTTTGAAAAGTGGGTGGCAAGGACAAGATACACAAATGCCTAAGGCGTGGGAATTGACCGCTCGAACATGGATTCGAACCCCGTTCAAGGCACAGATGTTTGCCGTCGTCTTCCTGTTTGGTGCTGTCCTGTGCAGGCAGTGGCCATGTGACGTGCCCATCCCCCATCAAAGGAGTCGTACCAAATGTGTACAAAAGAAAAGGATAGAAACAGTTTCGCACGTACTAACGCGAATCAATCGTCGCCCTGATGATGGAGGCAGCAGCGAACTCCGAAGCGGCGATAAACGTCCAGCATACTATGTGGTGCTACAAGCCAGAAGATAGCCATCTTCGTACTCACTGCCCCGAGAACCTCAAATTCTACTTAAGAATCACGCCGCTTTTCCGACTCACTTATCACATAATAATTTTCATAAATTACTAGAAGGAACAATACACATTTGTCATAAAACACAAAATATATAAATATCACATTTACTAACTTTTACGAACGATATGCTTGTCTTAATTTTGTATTTATTTCAACACGTTTCGGTCCCCTGCGTCTTCACGTGCGTCCACAAATCATTACACTACTGCTCCTAATTCTTCCAATTAAAGGTTTTTTACTATAGGCCCCATGTTAAAACGCTAAAAAAAACATTTCGTATTAATTATTTATAACAATTACACACAAAATTCCTTCCACGTTGCCCTCCAATAAAATCTGACAATGCGCAAAAAGACACCGGAGAGCCTCGTCAAACTAAACGACGCACCGCGACGTCGCGGTCTCGTCAGCGAAGTATTCTGTCTCCGGACTCTGACCACGTTCTGGGCTAGAGGATGTCAATAGACCTAGTGCGAGGCCCGTACTTACCATCCACTCTCGGCACGCGGACACACTGCGGTGGACATCTGCTTCAACCTGAAACAAACACACGCGAATCACATGGCGTCAGGAAGTAGGAGCGAGTACGTGTGGTCCAGACAAACATCAAAGTCACTGCCACTTCAACCAACGACCGTCTCCCGCGACGATGTTAACGCGAAGAAAGGCAAACGCGAGACTAAGCTGGCTCAATTATTCGCATAAAAACGAAATGTACTCGAAGAAGGCTGTCGTGTGTGTTGTCTGGTAGAAGTGTACTGGCGTTTCGGATGTTTTTGCCGCCTCTATGATCAAGGTAGAATTCCACCAGATTACATAAGACAGCCATCTTCGGACTCACCGCCGTGGAAACCTCAAATCCTGCCTTTGAATTAATCCAGTTCTTCATGTGTTCATGTTTCCTTATTTAATTTTATTTAATAACGTCGTACCAGCGTCTATGAATTTTAAGATGTTCATAAACAAGATTTGTCTTCTCAGTCTTCCTTGACACGGCAGAAAACGTTCGTTAGCAACCACTGCGCCCGGTCGCTCCGTTGTTTACAATTCACAGTGGCGGTAATCGAAATGTTCTGGGTTCGATCCCGACTGTCACCATTGATTTCGAAATTTAAAAAAAAGGACAAACGTCAGTGTAATGACAAGAAATAGTTTAATGACAAAAGGGTAATTACCGAAACGTCGTAAGTCATACAGTAGAAAAGACATTGAAACAGACAGAGCAGCTGTAAAACTGTTCCCAAATAGAAACAGTGAAATTCACTGATGCACCAGCCCCGTCGGGCGAGATTCTTTCATCTTTCCATCAACATCAGAAATTATGATCGCGCACTGCAGCTTCAAAAGTCTGTCTTCGTCTAAGCCGAGTACAGGCAGCTTCAGACATTCCTGTGTTGCTCTTATCAATAAGAAGTCAGGCAGAGACCCGCTGAGATGGACTCAGATGGAAGTTCCAAGCGCAGACGCACGCATCTCAGCGGCAGCCACGACAGAATACGACTACGACTGTACTGTGTCGCATTCCTGTACAAACCGCTTTGTAATAAAATGTTACCTTCCAATGATGACGACAGCCATTGACAAACTGACAGAACCTTTGAGCTCATCAAGCGCCAATCAAACCATGAAGAGTCATGGAATCCATTACACCGACCAACCACAACCTTTGTGATTCGCTTATCACATACTTTATCAGTGTTTACCTGCGTTCTGATAATGGACAAGCGTATTCGGTGCTCCCATGTTACACGATGTGCGACTGGACAACACAATAAAGTAGACGACGACCGATTCCTTACTCATTGTTTCAAGTTCAAAGTAGAGGCATGCCTCGTTTTATTGCGCTTCGCAGATATTGCGTTCTTTTAAAAATTGAAGGTTTGTGGCGACCCTGCGTCGAGCGAGTCCATCGGCGCCATTTTTCGTGCTCACTTCGTGTCTCTGTGTCACATTTTGGTAATTCTAATTGTTTTTTTAGACGTAATGCTATTGTGCACTTAATAGACTATAACACAGCGTAAACATAACTTTTATATGCACTGGGAAACCAACAAATTAGTGTGACTCGCTTTATTGCGGCGGTCTGGAACCGAACCCGCAATATCTCCGAGGTATGCCTGTACATGATCACGATTGGTTTCCAAGTTAAAAAACCTTCGCATTTGATACAGTACCGTTAAATAAGTATACATTACATCTTAGAAGCGTATTGTGGTGGTGGTGGTGGTGCGGGGTGGAATGCAAGAAGACCATTAAGGCATTATAACTCTGCAAAGAGCGAAATCTTATCTCCTGAATAAAGTAGGATTATACAGATAAGAGACAGACGTTAGCGAAGTGCACAGCTCGCCTCACAGCCTGGTGTTTCCTTCTTAAAAATAATATTCACGGAAATAAAGTCATTTAGAATTTCATAGTTTGAAAATGAAATAATAAATTCTTAAAACACAGCCTTCCCTGTTTTCATTCCGAGGTTTATCTGGTTAAAAGAAGTTATTTTATTTCTGCACTGTGGATGTTAAACCACGCCTCTAATTCTTGAAAAGTATTTTCACACGGACTCCGTTAACACCAGAAATATTCAGAGCAGATGTTTGCTGCTCCGAGCGATTAATATCAGGACCTTGAAACAGGAGGAGAAGCTGGTGATTACGACGAAGGGGGGGCCACCACCTTCGGGCAAGGCTACCCCCCCCTCCCAACACACACACACACACACACACACAAGCTATAGGAGCATTTCACGATACGAGTCGCCTGTCGACGAAATTCGCTTTCGGACATGCAACTCAAACAGGAGACTCGTTTGCACGCAAGTGCGTGTCGATAGGCGGACATAGCAACGCCACTGCGGTAGCCCTGAGAACCCTTGGCTACGCGAAGGGGCCTGAAATATCTGAGCTGACAACAGGAGTTGCCTGAAAGCGTTACTTACCCCAAACAGCTCGTCCGGCAACGCGAACAGACACTAGGACAACGCGGCCCTGACTGAAGGACAGAGGCACTTCCTGACACAAGCACCGATCTGCTTACGTCACGACTCCTCCGGTCTAGTATCAATGTCACACACTTCACTCCACGCAGATTACGTCACACATGTACTCCCCGTTCCAAAAGTACTGCCCACCATGTTGCACGACGCCATGATGGTTTTCAAGGCAGCGTTGCCAAGTGGCATCAGAACTGGTTCTCGAATTAAGTCGCGCATAATTTTGCGTATAATTTAATAACATTATGGAAACTGAAAGTTTTCACAGGCGTCGAAAAACCCGGAACTGGCCACGGCAAATTTCAACGAAACCGTCCACGAAATCATGGAAGCTGTCTCGAACCGGGTGCTTCTGGGCACAGACCAGGCGCCTCACCGCTTCGCTGAAACACTCACAGCTGCTGGAGTGTTTTAAGGTTCCGAAGGACCGAACCTCACACGTTTAAATCCGAACATTTTCGCTTATGCCGGGTTCATATTCAAATTGTTTTCGAAACTCAGAGTTACGGACGGACAGCAGAACGAAATGGGCGAGCGGTAGGAAACACGAGGGCCTTGTGGGTAGATTGTCGAGAAGCAGGTAGCAAGCGCCTCTGAAACGTCGGTCATCTGCAACCATACGAGACTCGTCTTCATTCTCGCATTACAAAGTTTCCTTCCGAATTCCCGAATGCAAGAGACCTACTGAAAGAAATAGGTTTTGATTGAATGGGTGTGGGAGTGGATTCAACTGGCTTCACGGCAGGAACCAGTAGTTGGATCCTTGTAACATGAAGTGAATTTTCCAGACCAGCTGAGTCAATATCAGCTTCTCACGTAACACTGTTTCATTGAGTCTGCTAATTCTATGCAGCTAGAAAGTTTAAAAGTAAGAGATCGTACGGTGTCATGTGTCTTATTCACACGTTGAGCTTAGTTTCAGACGACATACGAACTGAATCTGAGTAAAACCGAATTTCTGCACGCACGATGTCACAGAAACGCAATTTTCGCTAAAAAGAGAACCAAATCTTATTCGGGAGTACAAGGCCTCGCTGTGTACGACGTAACACGGAAGTAATTTTAACTAACAGGGCGAACTGTGTCTCTACAGTCGTAATAACTTTCACGAGCAAACAAATCTGCAGTCGGATTAATTGCCCAAATCTCCACAGCCTGAGGACACAGGCCAGTTCCCAGTTTTCGCTAAAGCGCAGTCGCTGTCCTAAACACTTCTTTGTGCTCTTACGGGAAACTGCGACGAGAGTTCCCTCGCTTTAGAACAGGATTAATTTACGGTTCACGTAACATCGTTTTTATACGTGCCCTTTGTGGTGCAAAATGCGATATTTTCACGTGAAACAATACTATTCTCACCGTATCATGGCGGAATATTTAAGGCTCAGTAATTTAAAATGATCATCGTCACGGATGAGTGAACTCGCGAACAGATTACTGAGGGACTTTGGTAGCTCCGAGCCTTATTATTTAAGTTACATTAACCCTTTGGGAAAAGTGAGAGAGACAGAGAAAGTGGGGGGGAGGGGGGGTAGCGACAGGCACTACTGTTTTAACGGGGAAAGGCATAAATTTTTATTTGTGGCTAAGAGGGTCCCCAGGCAGTGCCCATTCGTCCTACTGGCACAGACAGGTTAAATAAAGATAAGGCACGGAGAGACGTTGATCAGGGTCCTACTGTGTTCGTGCATGATTTTGAATGTTTAAATGTTACCACTGGGAGGGCTGCATGAGAGGCATTCAGGGCAACGTGGAATTTGGGTACCAACCCAGCATTTGGTCTAGGACCGAGGAAAACCTTGATCGAGTTGGCCGGTCGCAGGACCTTCCGGATACGTACCGACTTCTACTCTAGATAATAGTTTAAGAATTCAGTCCGCACCGCGAAGAAAACACAGCATTTCGCCATTACAAAAAATCGACTGGTTAACGCTGTTTAAGGAAATAATCGATGTTTACACTGAGAATAATACAAAACCCATAAATACAAATAGAATTATCAATCGTTAAAGCAGGTGGTACATATAGTTACCAATGGGCTTTAAACTGTTCCATCCAACACAGTGGAATACCATTTAAGTAATAACGTCGACCTCAGGGTTCGATTTTCCGCTGTTAACCAGTATCGATAGTTGACTGAACGCGTGGTGAACCGGTAGGTTCGCGATTGCAGGGATGGAATGCGGAGGACGGGTGGTGTTTAAGTGGACTGCGCCAAGATGTTCGTCGCGATTTCCGGCAGAGAACATCGCGACGCGACTTAGGAACATCGCCGATGTAAGGAACCGTCCCGAGTTGTCCAGGTCACAGTGCGGTGGCCATTGTCCACTGTCTACTGTATATTATGAACCGCATGCGAGACCAACCTGCTCAGGCCAGGCTACTCAACTAAGACGGAAGTGAGACGATTACAGAATTACGCATTACGCTGCGGTAAGTTACTTCTACCTGAGCAATTACTGCATGCTACAGTTGAGGGAAAGTCGCTAAAATTCTAAGTGCGCAGTATACATTTATATTCTTAAATCATCAACGCATCTTATTCACAATA